TCTTGACCACGCCGTCGAGTCCTCGGAAATCAGTGGCGAACTGACCGGATCACTTGCCGACGCTGTACAGGCTGCGCATACGCAATCTCCATGCACGTGGCTGGGCTGGTCTAGTGGTGGTACCAGCTGGGCGGCATAATCCTCGTGCGTAGCACGAGAATGAGCGACTAATGCATGCTCCCCGGTAGTGACATCGATTGCTAGCAAGGCAACCGGTTCCGGCGGAGTGAGGAGAGATGTCGCCCCTCTCCTTGCGTAACTCAGTTTCCCGAGTTTGCTGGGCGGGATACGCGTGTCTTGCCCTTTTCGGGGCATTGTGCGGTCAAATGCATGACGCCGATGCACCAAAGGCAATATCCGTACTTTTGACGGAGGTCATAGACATCCTTGGTTATCTTGTAAGTCGTCCATGGTTGCGGCCCAGTTCCCGTCGATGCCGTTTCTTGTGTCGCCTTGTTCTTCCGAACTCTCTTGGGACGCTTCGGCGGGAGCGCTGCTACAATTCCTCCATCACTCGAGGATGCTGCTGCAGCGTGGAGATCGACTGTTTCTTCATAAATCACGGCATTGTTGTGTGTCGGTCATTGATAGCCCTGCTTAGCCACATAATGCGGCTGGGACTGCCGTTCGTTTGCGGCCTTGTCATCCGTTTGGATGACTAAGTTCGCCCGATCCAGAATGGCCTGGAATGAATCATAATCGTACTCGTTGCCGAGTGCCGATCGCAGTCCTGCGGACAATCGCGAGAAGAACTCGGATCGTTGATTGGTGAAACTCAAATCGAAGCCTGGCGTGGTTACTATCTTCTGCCACTTAGTTGTCCAGTCTCGAGTTGGCATACCGCCTTGAGAGCAGGTGTACACCTCGTTCATGGCCGCCTTCACGACGTTGCGGACCATGAACCGGGTGAACCATAGCTTCTCGAACTCTTTCCACGTGATGTGCGTGTGGAGTTCGGCGATGGTGCATTTGTTGGTAGCCGCCAGATGGTTCATCCATGCCTGCGCTCCTCCAATCAGTTGCAAGTAGAGCGCCTTCATCATGTCGTCCGCCGGGACAGTGCGGCATGATGCTTCCGTGAGGAAACGTTGCCACCATGTCAAGGCGTCCGACTTGTTGTAGTCGTCGAACTTGCTGATGTCGAAATGCGGCATCTTGTAAGTCTTCGTCGCGGCGTCCGGTCTCGTCTGCAGCTTGGTGATGTCTGTCTTGATGGCGGCCACCGTGAGATTGACGACGGATCACTTGCCGACGGATGTCCGGCCCATTGAAAACACCTATGTCGCCGATGAGATTGACGACATGATCGATGCGCCCATTGAGCTGCCTCATCTCGTCTGTCGTGCAGCCTGGCGCTTCCGAGGCCTTAGCCTCGATGCTGCTGACGTGTGCGGTGGTGGTGTTCAACAGCTGTTGCTGTTGTTGCTGATGTGTGGCGGCAGCGCGGACAGCAGCTGTTAAAGCTGCAGAATCATTCTGCTGAATCTGTCGCAGTTGTCTGCCCTCGTGTATTTGCACCATTACCATCGTATTGTTCCACATGATCGCTCGCATCATGTTCAACATCAGATTAGCCAGGTTGCTCCTTTCTTCCTCCGCCGGTGTCTGATCCGCCTGTGTATCCGAAGGCACAAACAGCATGCCTTGGAGCACTGTCGTCCACCGACTCTCATTCATAGTCAAGGACTCCATGCACATGGCGTTCCGCTTATCTCGCACTACGGCGTCAGCCTCAGCCATCTGCTGAGCTTGGGCTGCCGCCTCACTGGCCAGCCGCTGACATTCCGCCTCTGATGCTTCCTCCTGTGCCTTGGCGGTAGCTACGGCATCAGTAAATGCCTGTACCCGTTGAAGGTAAGCTGCCAACGGCTCGCCGGCTCCTTGGACCGGGCACGCGGGAAGAACTCCGGTGGTAACCGGTACTGTTATTGCTGTACTTGATGCTGCTGGAGTCTTCCGTTTGCTGAGTCGCTTGGATCTTGGAGGTACCGCAGGGCGGGTACGAACTGCAAGCCTGGCACTGCGTCGTGGCAGTGCCCCGGTGTCCTGTTCCATCGACATCAGTGCTAGCTGATGTGGTACTTGAGAAAACCCGGTGGTTACAGAGTACGGGGAGGGTATGGAGAGTGCGAACAGGGGTAGAACAATCAAACAATATGTGTACAGTCCCGTCCCACTGATGGACTGTAGACACCCAATCAAAACAGAAAAATAAATTTCCAGTAAACAATTCAAAAATTCGTAATAAGAAATAAAATTAACGAATTATTTAATCAATAAAGTTTAATTAATGATAAATAACGAAATAATAATTCTTAATGATAATCAACAAAACAATGTTTATAATAAAGATAATCAATAACCAATATTTGCAATAAAGATAATCAATACACAATATTTGCAATAATGATAATGAACGAATTTGAATTGTATCAAGATTAGGTATCTGTTGAGATCATCCTTAGTCCGGGAGTTCACCGTTAATGAGTGAACTACCCGGAAGTTGCAACTTGAGGGTCAGATTCGGATTAGTTTGCCAAAAAAAAATTTCGGAAAAAGTCAGGGAAAAACACTCGAATTTTCAAAAATGTGAATTTTCGGGAATTTCCACCGTCAAAATCCGATTTTTTTAATGGCCTAAACCCGTTTTCGGAATTTCTCAAAACAAAGGAAAGAAAAAAATTTCGCGAAAATTTTGGGCCCAACCCTAATTTTCCGCGTTTCGGCGGAATTTCCGGATTTACGGTTCCCAAAACGTTCGAATTTCCCAAGTTGAGTGAAAGCCAAAAAATTTTGTAACCCTAATTCCCCATACTGCAATAAAACGGAAATGCTGATTTTAGAAACGAAATACAGGATTAAAATCAGAATGCCGAAATAAAAAACGGAATACCGAAAGAAATCAGAATGCCGAAATCAACAGAAAACTGATTTAACCCTAATTACGAATCACTCACCAGAAACCCGAATCAAACAGAATGTTGGATTAGTCTCAATTTGTCGGATCCTAATAAACAGCCTACCGGAGTAAAACGGAAATCCGAATGGTAAGTCCGAATACCGAATTGAAATGGAACTGCCGAAATAACAGAATACAGAAAAAAGAAAAAATTTTGCAACATTGAACTCAATAGTAATACAGAGCTGATTCGGAAGATTGAAGAACAATCTAATTCCTAATCAGACTTACCTTTGGGAGCAGATCCGTTATATGGTCTGCTCCGATACCAAAACTGTTACATACTTCAATGAGTATGGGCAGAACCAAAGATCAACCAATGTAGGATGAGCATATATGCAGCGGAAGTCTGATAAACGGACTGACTCACATAGACTGACTCACATAGATATCACTCCACACRCATACAATCRTGAGATGGTGGGGTCTGGGCCAAGCATAGACGATRCCCAGACCTCGTACACACATACACAGCTGAGAGGTGGGAGGAGAGACGAAGGAGGAGGGGAGATGTAGGTAGCACCAAATGTCCCCGAGATAGAAACCAGTAGGTCACCGATATAGTAACCCAAATTGTCATCGAACCAGATCAAAATGTCGAGGACAAYAAGTCACCAATGTCGGAGATACAGAGTCCTAATGTAACCGGTGTCAAATCTGTGATGCAGCCGAGTATCATCCCCAACAATCTCCAAGCCTCGAATCCGGTAAGTACCACAGCCTCTTACCACCGAAGTCCAACTCTGATCTCTGTCCAACTAGTATAAGTCTCCAATCTGAAGAAGAAGAAGAAGAAGAAGAAGAAGAAGATGGAGTCTGAAGAGAAGAAGAAGAAGAAGAAGGAGGGAGCCGAGGAGGAGAGAGAGAGAGAGGGGACTGGCGATGGGAGGGAGGAGAGAAGCCTCCGACTCCCGATACCTCAGGCGGCTATGGCCGCCGATAACGCCCAGTCGCCGCTGCTTCTGCTCCGCTCGCTGCTGCTGCGCTAATGCTGTGCCGCGCTGCTCCTCGCTCCTGCGCTAAACATAGCACCAGCGCTGTTTCGCGCTGTACCATACCGTACCAGTAGAATGCGGGTAGGTCGATAGCCTCAATGAGGCTGGACCGGTACTTTTGTACCGGTGGGGCAGAGGCCGGCCTCAATGCTGCGAGGCCTGGCCGTGCCCTGAACCGTCAAGATGGACGGTTCAGCCCCAACCGGCGGGCGGCAGCCTCAAGAGCGCCRCYAGGCCCAAACGGTAATGTCGTTTGGGCCTGCCCGTYGGGTCTGGTCCAAGGTAAGGCCTTTACGGCCTGTAGTACCCCCAAGGTCGGGCCTTTAGGCCCTACTGTGTCTCTCTCACCCTAAGTCGGGTCCGGTAGGACCCGTGTGGCTTCGAAGATGTAACAGCCTGCCTCTGGGCCTGACCTATTTCGCAAACTCAGCGCAGATAGAACTTTCCATAGGCGAGTACTGCTGCTGCATCTTTTGCCAATTCACGCAGGGTACAGAAATATAACAAAAGGTCTGGGTACACTGTCACTATTATTAGGCCTCCTGGTCGACGGCCGGCTGATGGAAATGAACAGGTACTATCAAATAACTGCAAACTAAAAGTAGCGAAATTGAGGACACACAGCCTTTGAAAAAATAAAAATAAAAAAAAATGAAGAGTCTGACACACACACAGATCTGGAGAATTTACAGCTATGTACATCTGGCGGATTGCTGTAGGACTGTGGCTCTTTCCTGTGATTGCTTCCCCATCCCAGGCAATTGTTGTGAGTAAAGCTCAGTAAACTCCGTAAAGCATCTTGGAATTGCACATCTCTTTGTGTCTTGTCGAAGTGTAACAGATAATTAACGAGTTCAGCTTAACACGGTCAGTTCATTCTTTGTTCTCGCCCCTGTGGAACGGGGAGGCTTCTTAGTTGGTAAAGTAATGTAAACTTAGTGTGACCCGTTGGCCGCTGTCCAAAAACGTTTATGGCCAGGTCAGTTGACTGCCCTGCTGTTTCCGGGGATGGGATGTTTGGGGCTTGGCTGTGGCATGTTGAACAGGAGCTGGAAAGGGAGTTGGAGCGAAAGCGGCTCGACTTGCCTCCAGAGCCGGAGAACGGCGATTCCTCTGCTATCTACTTGATGGTGAGACTACCTGATGGATCACGACGAGGGCGCCGGTTCCGAAGGCAGGACAAGCTACAGGTGAGTGAGATTCATGTCTCTACACTTCGCTGACTGAGGGGAAGCCATATCGAGTTTTGCGTGAAACTGTGCAGCCGTAAATCTGAAAAGGTTAGCAATAGTCAAATCATGTCTGTTGCCCCACATACCCCAACATTGCCTTGCAGGTTACAAGTTATATAACATTGGATCTGATTGCAGCACATGACATCACTGAGCTTTTGCATGCACCTGGTGTGAATGGCCCTACGGAAGATTGTTTTTCGATGCACTCGATGTGGGGGAAGCAATGGTGGCGGTGGTGACCACTTTCTTGTTGGGAAGCTGAACCTGGGCAGATTGTTACAGAGAGAGATTCAGGGTCCAGGGGGTGATTGGGGGATTGGGGTGAAGGAGGTGCGGCCTACTGATGCTCCTGGTGTGAATGGCCTACGGAAGAGCGCTTTTCGATGCACTCGTTGCGGGGGAAGCAATGCCAGCAGTGGTGACCTCTTTGTTGTTGGGAAGCTGAATCTGGGAATATTGTTACAGAGACTCAGGGTCCAGGGGTGATTGGGGTGATTGGGGTGATTGGGGTGATTGGGATGGAGGTGCAACCTATTGATTTGGACGGTGGGCACGGTGGGAGGTACGCATCCCGATATGACCGTGTGTGTGGGAAGAGTTATGGCAGGAAGCAGTGTTTCGGCGATACGTGTGCGTCCTGTGGTACTACTTGCACCTGTCTAGCTTGTCGAAGGCCTGTACATGCACCCGCTCCGACTGCCGAACGAGTCTACTGCTCACAGCAGCCAATAACTCGCTGAGAAGACTGGAAACAGAGAACATAGTCAACTCTCCGTTCCTCCTTTCACACCTTCCACATGGAATAGGTTGTGTCATAATTTTGTTCTCCGAATTGCACCTGTCCAGCTTGTCGATGGCCTGTACATGCACCTGCCCAGACTGCGGACCGACTCAACTGCTCACAGCAGCCAACAACTCCCCAAGAAGAAGAGAAACAGAGAACATAGTCAACTCTCTGTTGCTCCTCTCACACCTTGCACATAAATTATCACCATGGTTCGGAAGTGGACATGGTTCGCCCCAACAAAGTACATGAGTCTCTTATGGCAGTCAAGGGAGTCGGCCTTTAGGCAGAGCCTAACGGCATCCCCGGATGTCAATCGATTAGAATGGCTGGACTTTTGCATTGACAGCCAGACAGTCAGCCGGCTTTTGGGGGCCTATATTTCAAACAATGGGCACAGATGGAGCTTTCCTGCATCGGTAGTGCTGTGTCGTTTTCACTTTTTAGGCAGGGTACAGAAGTACCGGAAGGGTCTGGTACCTTGCATTAGTTCTAGGCGTCATGATGCAGGTGAATCCTTTTTTAGCAAAATGTTTAACGCCATGTCCCAGTGCTGTTGCAGAACATCCCCTTACGATTGTTTTGGGCATACCGAAATCTTTTTTTTTTTTTTTTTTTTTTTTTCAAAATAATTTGGACCATTTCCCGATTTATGGTTGTCATCCTTGCGCAGGGGCGTTGCTAATCTTCTCTGTATCGCCACATTTTTGGTGAGAGATGGCCGCGCGGCTCGATGTCAAGCCCCAGCTGCAACTGTGCTGCTGCTTGTGGTCTTCATCCCAGTGGTCATGTTCCTTATCCTCTCGATCGCCGTCTGCATGAGCCTCCAATGTCCCAGAGGACAGGCAGACCAGAATCTTAACGCACTGATTAATGTACTCAGTCATGACTAACTGTATGAAGCATGCAAAATTACATATTCAAAAAATATGTCGACAATATCAAAAACTTGCTCGTTGCCTTTACTGCTGGTCACACGAGTGTCAATGAAGTCTCTGGCCAGAGATGAGACTGACCACCAGAACATTCACGAATAGCAAGCGGCCTGATTAAGGCCAGCGCAGCTTGTGCGCAGGGGGTTCGTCCCTTGTGCAAACTTGACAGCTCTCAACATATACCTTTGCAGCTCTATTCATAGCAGGCCACGAAAAATGCTGCAGGCCACAAAAAATGCTGCAACAGATTAGCGTAAGTCTTTTTAAACCCAAAGCGGTCTGTCACATCATGTCGTTCGTCTTACCACTTCCCTAATTGGTATCCGCGACTGAAAACAAAATAAAAAACAAGGCTCCGTAGACGGCGTAGAGGCTCACTATTATGCACACAATGTCTTAATTTCGCAATCGTACTTGGGGAATACTCGCACTAGGACCTTCTTACTTATTTATACGGACACAATTGCGGTCAGATGTATTCAAGTACGGCCACAGATGTGGTCAGATAGGTGTAAGATCGAGCTAGTGTGAGTATGCCCTTAGGAACAACAATTTTTCCGCCGTTCTGAACTCCTCGCACATCTTTTCTTTCTGTCTTGTGTAGTGAGACCTGTGATGGTTTCTGTAAGAATACCATCTCCCTCATAAGAATCTCCAACCTGCGGACATAAATGAGCCCTTCTAACCCAAACTGAGTAACTAGCGACAGAAGGAAGTCTGCTCTGCTCTCCTTGGTGATGAATCAGCTACCACAAGATACTTGCTGCCCTTTGACATGCGGCAGTGTGAAGTCATACATATCTATAAGACTATAATTTTCTGTATCCATGTCTCGAGTGCGTCAGACAATGTTGGCTGTGTCTTTATTCACTGTATGGTGTCTAATTGGCAGACCTGATTCTAGACTGTCTGCCATGGAGATCATGTTTCCGGAAGTTGGGGAGCTTTCTGAGATTGCATCATTTTAGACATGTACTCGATTGGTCTCAAAAGACTAGAGTTTTCCCCCCTTTAATTGCAGAACACTGCAGCTATCTGCCATGGAGATCATGTTTCCGGATTGCAGAACACTGCAGCTATCTCGCAGGCTGCCAGCTTCTGAGATGGCATCTTTTTAGACATGTATGGGGATGTGTAGGGATCCATTGACATGGGAGTTGGGAGAGTTCGATTGGTCTCCTTTCAGATGTCAGCTTCGGACGAGACGTGGAAGGATTTGTTGACATGACCTATGAGGATGTGTAGGGATCGGTGGACATGGCAGAGGTGGACGTAGGCAAATATAAGGACAGTAGTTGATGAAGATAAGGATGTGAACAAAGGGAGTCTGAGATACAGTCGTCGAAATAATGCTGTGGCGGAGCAGATAGGAATAGGAATGACGGTAGATGTTCAGGAAGCGCTGGAAATTGAAGCAGAATGAGGGAAGCATTTAGACCCCCCTTAGATCAAAGTGATTTGAACTACCATCCTCATTAGAACCTCGACATCAACAATATGCTGCTGCTCTTCTGCAGTGTTCCACGCATGAGTGTCGGCAAGCTCCGCGCTCAAGGATTCTGTTTTTTTTTTTTTTTTTTTTT